CTAAGCACCCTCCTCCATGTTGACATTCGTGGGTCCATTTCCCTCCGGCTCCTCCCTGCGCCTCACCTCATGGCTTCCTGGTCCCATTGAGAGACCAGAACCACTTTTGTCATTGTCCGATTTACATTCACTTCATTCCCAAACTACTGCTTGCTCTCAGGTTCTGGTGTCTCAATGTCTTCTTCCCACTCATATTAAACTGTTATTCAGTACAAGACATATTCACCTCTGATCCTGTAGCTGCCCTCTCCACACAGAACCAGGCCAAAATTCCCTAGGGGACAAGAGAGGGCCTCAACCCCCACTGCCCCCCCTTCACCCTTCCCCAGACAGCATCCTCAGCCCGGGCGGATGCACCTCCTCTTCGCCTACCTAGTATATTTCTTGCAATTTAGAGTTTATTTCCTAAATGCATGGAAATCGTAGCCCCTGAAGGCCACCATGCCATCTCAGTTTTCTAACAATCATCTGTCTCCAGGTAAAATTGCCAGGTGAAATATTGGAAACATGTTTTTACTAAAAAATGTATTTGTTGTTCATCTGAAATTCAAATGTAGCTGGATGTCTTGTATTTTTATTTGCTATGTCTGACAACTCTACCAGTGAGGCTTTCATAAATATGACCTCTGTCTGGCTGGTCCACCAGGCTACCCAGATATTCCTGAGCAGGTTTTAATATGCTTGAGTTCACCATGAACAGACAAGCCAGGCCCTCACTGATTTAGAGTATCGAGACTTTCAGGCCAATTGTATAAATGTAATATTGGGGATTAGTAAGTGTTTTAAGTGTGATATACTTTTTAGACATAGAAAATAATCCTTGGATATATCCATCATTAGTTATTAAAGCATAATGTTGTTAGAAATGGGCATTTATTCTGTAAAATAGACTTAACTATATAAAGCAATCAACAGGCCATGTTGCTTTTAAATACAAATCAGCTAAGAACAATATTCCAGTTAGCTCTCCTGTTTGACAGATCTCTATTAAAAGTGAACCTCTCGGCCGGGCGTGGTGGCTCAAGCCTGTAATCGCAGCACTTTGGGAGGCCGAGGCGAGTGGATCACGAGGTCAAGAGATCGAGACCATCCTGGTCAACAGGGTGAAATCCTGTCTCTACTAAAAATACACAAAAAAAAATTAGCTGGGCATGGTGGCACATGCCTGTAATCCCAGCTACTCAGGAGGCTGAGGCAGGAGAATTGCCTGAACCCAGGAGGTGGAGGTTGTGGTGAGCCGAGATCGCGCCATTGCACTCCAGCCTGGGTAACAACAGTGAAACTCCGTCTCAAAATAAATAAATAAATAAAAGTGAACCTTTCAGCTTCCTTTCAACAAAAGTAGCCAAATAAACATGTCTGTACAATAGTCCCGACATCCTCAGGGAATATGTTCTAAGACCCCAGTGGATATTTGAATCTGCAGATAGTACTGAACCCTATATATGTCTACTATGTTTTTTCTATATATACATACTTCTTATAAAGTTTAATTTATAAATTAGGCACAGTAAGATATTAACAACAATACCTGGTAATAAAGTCGGACAATTGTGACAATATGCCAGCATCACTACTGTTGCACTTTGGGGCCATTACTAAATGAAATAAGAATTCCTTGAACACAAGCACTGGGACACTGAGACTGTTGATCTGATTGCTGAGCCTGGCCACTCAGCGACTAACAGTTGCCTGTCTACACTACCCGCCCGTTAGTCTCTGAGTGCAAGGGCTAAGTATTCAGTTCAACAGTCTCAGTGTCCCAGTGCTTGTGTTCAAGGAATTCTTACTTCATTTAGTAATGGCCCCAAAGTGCAACAGTAGTGATGCTGGCATATTGTCACAATTGTCCTATTTTATTACCAGGTATTGTTGTTAATAACTTACTATGCCTAATTTATAAATTAGGTGTGGGTACACTGGACAAAGGTATGATTCAAGCTGCAGGTGAGTGGGATGGAGCAGGAGGGTATGTGTATTACTTTGTTTTCACACTGCTGATAAAACATATCTGAGACTGGGCAATTTACAAAAGAAAGAGGTTCATTGGACTTATAATTCCACGGGGTTGGGAGGCCTCACAATCATGGCAGGTGAAAGGTATGTCTCACATGGTGGTGGCAAGAGAAAGAAAGAGAGCAAAGCGAAATGGGTTTCCCCTTATCCGTCAATAAGTAGTGAGACTTACTACCACGAGAACAGTATCCGGGAAACCATCCCCATGATTAAATTATCTCCCACTGGGTTCTTCCCAGAACACATGGGAATTATGGAGCTACAATTCAAGATGAGATTCAGGTGGAGACACAGCCAAACCATATCAGTATGAGATTTCATCATGCTACTCAGAATACAGGCAATTGAAAACTTAGGAAATATTTTCCACTGAATATTTTTTTTATTGCATTTTAGGTTTTGGGGTACATGTGAAGAACATGCAAGATAGTTGCATAGGTACACACGTGGCAGTGTGATTTGCTGCCTTCTTCCTCTTCACCTATATCTGGCATTTCTCCACATGCTCTCTCTCCCCAACTCCCCACCCCTCACTGTCCCTCTCCTATTCCCCCCAACAGACCCCAGTGTGTAGTGCTCCCCTCCCTGTGTCCGTGTGTTCTCATTGTTCAACACCCGCCTATGAGTGAGAACATGCAGTATGTCATTTTCTGTTCTTGTGTCAGTTTGCTGAGAATGATGTTCTCCAGGTTCATCCATGTCCCTACAAAGGACACGAACTCATCGTTTTTGATGGCTGCATAATATTCCATGGTGTATATGTTCCACATTTTCCCAGTCCAGTCTATCATCGATGGGCATTTGGGTTGGTTCCAGGTCTTTGCTATTGTAAACAGCGCTGCAATAAACATTCATGTGCATGTGTCCTTATAGTAGAACGATTTATAATCCTTTGGATATATACCCAGTAATGGGATTGCTGGGTCAAATGGAATTTCTATTTCTAAGGCCTTGAGGAATCACCACACTGTCTTCCACAATGGTTGAACTAATTTACACTCCCACCAGCAGTGTAAAAGTGTTCCTTTTTCTCCACATCCTCTCCAGCATCTGTTGTCTCCAGATTTTTTAATGATCGCCATTCTAACTGGCGTGAGATGGTATCTCAATGTAGTTTTGATTTGCATATTTTCATACTGCAGTAACTGAAACTATAGAAAGCAAAACCACAGATTAGGGGGGACTACTGTAATTCAGCCTCCTTCAATGAATTTAGAAAATTGCCTGTTCCACTACTTAAAATCCGGTATAGACTCAATACATTTGTTTGGTTATTTCAAACCATTTCTTTGAAGGTGCAGTGATCATGTGGAGCGAGATAAGAAGAATATAAAATGCAAAAATCAGCCTGTGTGGTGGCTCATGCCTATAATCCCAGCAATTTGGGAGGCTGAGGCAGGCAGATCACTTGAGGTCAGGAGCTCAAGATCAGCCTGGCCAACATGGCGAAACCCGGTCTCTACTAAAAATATAAAAATTAGTTGGCATGGTGGGAGGCACCTGTAATCTCAGATACTTGAGAAGCGCGGTGGCTCAAGCCTGTAATCCCAGCACTTTGGGAGGCCGAGGCGGGTGGATCACGAGGTCAACAGATCGAGACCATCCTGGTCAACATGGTGAAACGCCATCTCTACTAAAAATACAAAAAATTAGCTGGGCATGGTGGCGCGTGCCTGTAATCCCAGCTACTCAGGAGGCTGAGGCAGGAGAATTGCCTGAACCCAGGAGGCGGAGGTTGCGGTGAGCCGAGATCGCGCCATTGCACTCCAGCCTGGGTAACAAGAGCGAAACTCCGTCTCAAAAAAAAAAAAAAAAAAGAAGCTGAGGCAGGAGAATCACTTGAATCTAGGGGTGTGGAGATTGCAGTGAACCAAGATTGTGATACTGCACTCCAGACTGGGCAACAGAATGAGATTCTGTCAAAAGAAAGAAGAAAGAGAAAGAAATAAAGAAAGAGAGAGAGAAAGAAAGGAAGGAAGGAAAAAGGGAAAGAGGGAAAGAAAGAAAATGAAGGGAAAGAAGGAAAGACAGAAAAAGGAAGGAAGGGAGAGAGAGAGAGAAAGAAAGAAAACAAAACAAAAAGGTATGCAATAATCCTCCATAATCTAATATTTCGGTCCAGTCTTTTTGAATGCAACTATGTAAGTGCTTTTAAAGAAACTGGGGCCAAGAGCCAGGCCGCAGTCCACTATGACTGTGCCTATGAATCGCCACTGCACTCCAGCCTGGACAATGTAACATCTCTAAAAAAATTTTGTAAACAAAATACAAAAGCAAGAAATTGAGGCAAAACTGTACATAACTTGCTTTTTTCACATTAAAAAAATCATAAAAATTTAAAATAGCTGCATAGTATTGATTCTATCATACAAATAAAAAACAATTTACTCAACCAGTTGCATATTGTTGGATACTTAGGTTGATTCTAATCTTTCTTCTACCAGTCTTACCTTTGTACCTAAATTGTAAGAGATGATTTCTGTAAATAGGCAAAATACATAACTTATAACCAAGTATTTTTATTATTAAACGGAAAAAGTTCTATTTCACTAGTAGTTAAATAAGCACAAAATATGAAACTTTTAAAACAGCATATTGACAAAAATTCTTAGGGTAGCAGCACTTACTTCTGGAAACTCAATGGAAGAAACCCTCAAACACCTGTAAGGGTGCTGAGGTACTGAATGCAACTTCTGTGAACCTTTATCGTTTTTCTGCATACTCAACATCCGTTTTTCCCTTCTGTTAACAGCAGCCACTATTCCTCTGGGGAATCCCTTCCCCACATTTGAGTTGATGTGTCTTGAGTAGGGATGAGACCACGCCTTTGCTTGAGTGAAACCATTCCATCCTATGGCCACAGTGATTGGTTCAGGGATGGGTACGCTTCTCTCGCCTATTTTCTATTTAATTATTTAATTACTACTATTTTTAAAAAGACTTCTAGCTTTCTTTCTTTTTCTCTTTCTTTCTTTCTTTCTTTCTTTCTTTCTTTCTTTCTTTTTCTTCTTTCTTTTCTTTTTTGAGACAGAGTCTGGCTCTCTTGCCAGGCTGGAGTGCAGTGGCATGATCTCGGCTCACTGCAACCTCTGCCTCCCAGGTTCAAGCGACTTGCTTGCCTCAGCCTCCTGAGTAGCTGGGACTACAGAAGCCTGCCACCATGCCAGGTTAATTTTTGTAGCTTTAGTAGAGACCGGGTTTCACCATGTTGGCCAGGATGGTCTCAATTTCCTGATCTGGTGATCTGCCCGCCTGGGCCTCCCAAAGTGCTGGGATTTCAGGCATGAGCCACCCTGCCCAGCCTAGCTTCCTTTTAAGAAAAGTGGCCAAACAAACATTACTGTACAATAGTTCCCCCTTATTAATCCCAAATTAATCCAAAGATTTCTATGAGAACTCCTGGAAGTAGGCGCTCTGTTTTCATGGTTGTTTCTATGATAGGATATATCCACGTTGATTGTATCCTTGCCACATAATAGCATATATCTGAATCTTTTCCAGTACTGGAAAACGACATCTAATTGCTCCAATTTAATTGCTCTGGTTACTAGTAAATGCGAATATTTTCACAAACATATTGGCTGCTTGCATCTCTTTTGTGATCTTATGTCTATTTATGTAATTAGCCTCTTTTCCTATAAAATAACACAATAAAGCTGCTTTATAAATTAATCATAAATTTTCTCTAAATTTCTTAAATAATGTTTTTACTATACCAAAGTTTAAAGTTTTTGTTTTTGTTTTTTGCTTTTTATTTGTTTTGAGACGGGGTCTCACTCTGTCACTCAGGCTGGAGTACAGTGGCTTAATCTTGGCTCGCCGCAACCTCCACCTCCTGGGTTCAGGCAATTCTCCTGCCTCAGCCTCCTGAGTAGCTGGGATTACAGGTGCTCACCACCATGCCCAGCTAATTTTTTGTATTTTTAGTAGAGACGGGGTTTCGCCATGTTGACCAGGATGGTCTCGATCTCTTGACCTTGTGATCCATCCGCCTCGGCCTCCCGAAGTGCTGGGATTACAGCCTTGAGCCACCGCACCCGGCCTAAAGTTTTTATGTATCCATGTCTACTGAGCTTCCCATTATGAGTTCTTCTGTTACTATTGTGCTTAGAAAAATTTTCGGTATCCAAAGATGAGATAAACACTTGCCAATCTTTTTATCCAGTATTTTGTTGCATCATTATTATTATTAACCCTTTAATCTACTTGGAATTAGCTTTGGTATACAATGTGCCACATAGCTTTAAATTTATTTCTTCCCAAATAGCTAGCTTAATTTAATTTCCTTCCTTCCTTCCCTCCCTCCTTTCCCTTCCTCCCTCTCTCTCTCTTTCTCTTCCTTCCTTTCTCTTTGTCTCTTTTTTATTTTAGACAGGGTCTTACTGTCACCTATGCCTGAGTACAGCGGAAAGATCATGCATGGCTCACGGCAGCCTTACCCTCATGGACTCCAGTGATCCTCCCACCTCAGCCTCCCAAGTAGCTGGTACCAAAGGTGTATGCCACCACAGGTGTGTGCCACCATGCCCGGCCAATTTTTTGTAGTTTTTGTAGAGACAGGATTTCACCATGTTGTCCAGCCTGGTGTCAAACTCCTGGGCTCAGGAGATTTGCCCTCTTTGGCCTCCCATTGGCATGAGCCCGTGCCTGGCCGTATTTTCTAAGCACTATGTTATCTCTCCCTTTTACATGTTCTTTCCCCCTTGGGTGGTCCAGACCCTTCTTGGTGGCAGCAAGAGTAAACAGGAGGCAATACAGGAAGCAAAATGACTCAAGCCACTTCACCAGTGTCACCACACCTAGAGAATGGGCTTAATCCGAATCCTGGGATTTTCTCGTAAATAGTGAGGAAGATGAGAAAGAAGGGGAGGCCAGAGAACCTGTTTTCTTTACATTCAATCACCCCATCAGCAGGAGTGACATCAGGTTTGTAGGTCCCAAGAAGCCCTCAAGATTGCAGGTGTAGCATCCCTCGTGATTTACAATCCCAGCCCATCATCTCCTTCTTTTTTATTTTTATTATTTGAGATGGAGTCTCAGTTTGTTGCCCAGGCTGGAGTGCAGTGGCATGATCTCGGCTCACTGCAACCTCCACCTCCTGGGTTCAAGCAATTCTCCTGCCTCAGCCTCCTGAGTAGCTTGGAGTACAGACATGGGCCACCATGCCCAGCCAATTTTTGTCTTTTTAGTAGAGATGGGTTTTCACCATATTGGCCAGGCTGGTCTTGAATTCCTGACCTCAAGTGATCTGCCTGCCTCAGCCTCCCAAGTTGCTGGGATTGCAGGCAAGAGCACCTGTGGCAGGCCCCTTTCTGTTTTCAGTCTTCGCCCATTGCACAAATTGCCTCCCAAGTCCCTCCCTAAACTCTGAGAGGAGATAGTTGGATGAGTTGAGTCAGTCTGCCTCTAATTACTGCTTATTTAATGTGATTGTGGATTTTAATGTCATTAACACAATGAGGGGTTCTGAGGCAAATAGGAGTGGTGCCTGCACAGTTGGCTTCAGCTGGATCCTTTGCCATGCGTGTTCTCGGTTTATCTCAGCCTGTGGTTTCAAGACGGTGAAGGCTCAGCAGTGTCTTTCCTCCTTATCCTGTCTGTTTCTCCACACATCTTCCCTGGGTGTACAAATGTAATGGTTAGGTAGTGTGGATCATTGTATATCTGAATATCTTTCTTTTTATATACATAAGCTGAAATGAAAATTTAAAATACTTTTGGTGACAACCCACTTCCCTTAAAGCTCTACAGAGTTCACTGAATTTTTTTTTTCCTGGGTTTAGTGTTTTGGAAAAGTGTTAAGGACATATTATCCTTCTAAATGCTTGTAAAAGCTTTGCTCTCATGGAATTTACAGTCCAATGGAGAAGAAATAAATTATTTGTGATGAAGAGTGCAATATGCTTTGCATTTATCTTACTTTTCATGTTCTCTGTCCTCTACATGAGATTTGGGGAGGAAGAAAGGCTCAGCCCACCCTTGGGTAATAGAAGCTACTCTGTGCCAGGACAGGAGATAGGGAAAAGTTCCTGGATAGAAGAATTCACTGTATCTTCGGGATAAGTCTGAGCTTTGATTTCAGTCTTATCCTAGGGTTGGTTCCTGTGGTTTTTCACGACTCAACTGACTATCACTTTATGATCACCCCAGGGAGCTAGATGCCTCCTCAAGCAGCCTGCTTGGTTGGTAAGCAGAGAAATTATTTTCCTTTCTATATGCCATCTAGTGACTGGCTTAAAAGTTGTTGCATCTCCGTTCCTAAGAGCTCTGATTTTGATTTGTTTTGGGATAAACCTGTCTCTAGCAGGGAATCTCAGCACTTTATTTCTTTTCAGTCCTTTAATCCTAATGCCAGGACCTTGCTCATAAAGCTTTGTAAATCTGCAGCCACTGAAATATCCTCTCTCCACTTGCCAATAACTTCTCAGACACACATTTTTCATGGAGACTGTTATTAGCCGAGCTCTTCTCTGCCCTTTTTAAGGACACATCACCGTGCAGATTCAGTCAGGTACTTGTGGGTTCGGTCGATAAGGCTGAGACTTCCCTGTGTCTCGGTTTCCTCGTGTGTAAAAATCCAGCTTGTAAAAATGGTATCTTTCTCAAGGCTTTGCTGTAAGAATCGAATGAACTAATGCACAAGCACTTGCACAAACCCGCTATATTATTACATTCTACTTTAAAACTGAACATGAAAATCATGCAAAAAATCGTTTGCAAATTCAAGCCAGATATCATGTCGTGCTTTAGAATCGCTCATATTAAGTCAAGCAGCCCTCTTAGGGCTGCAGGCCATGGGAACAGTTTCTGTGGTTTACGCGCGTGCATCCATGAGCTTATCCACCCACCCCCTCCACTTTGTGTGTCTGGGTCTCCAGATTTCATTATAAAGAGGCAGAGCCCATCAGAGAACTTGATCGGCAGCCAGGCACGGTTTTTTCCTGCTCTGGTCCTTTGTCAGGTCTTTGTTCCGCCCCTGGCTACACTCTAACAGAACCACTTACTGGCGATTCACAGGAGGGGACCCGGCGGCGGGGCGGGGCCTGCGGGGCGCGGGGCCCCGGCGCGGACCAGGCGCAGCGATTGGATTCACCCGAGGGCCGCGCAGCGCGGAGCGCCAGGCTGCGGGCGGCGGCAGACCCGGGAGTGGAGACCGGCCCGCCGCACCGCAGCCGGGGCTAGGAGACCGACGGGCAGACCGACGGGCTGCGGCCGCGATCGCGGGACGGAGGGGCGCGCGCGGCGAGAGGGTATCTAATCAGCAGCTCCGGCCGCGCCATGGACGGCACCGACAATGCGACCCTGCTCTTCGCCCCTCTGCTGCCGGACAACTACACCCTGGCGCCCAACTACACCCTGGCGGCCAACGCCAGCAGCCCTGGCCCCGGCACTGACCTCGCCCTCGTCCCTGCGTCCAGCGCCGGCCCCGGCGCCGGGCTCAGCCTTGGGCCGGGTCCGAGCCTCGGCTTCAGCCCGGGTCCCACTCCGACCCCGGAGCCAACGACCAGCGGCCTCGCGGGAGGCGCGGCGAGCCACGGCCCTTCCCCATTCCCTCGGCCCTGGGCGCCCCACGCGCCCCCGTTCTGGGACACGCCGCTGAACCACGGGCTGAACGTGTTCGTGGGCGCCGCCCTGTGCATCACCATGCTGGGCCTGGGCTGCACGGTAGACGTGAACCACTTCGGGGCTCACGTCCGCCGGCCCGTGGGCGCACTGCTGGCCGCGCTCTGCCAGTTCGGCTTCTTGCCGCTGCTGGCCTTCCTGCTGGCCCTCGCCTTCAAGCTGGACGAGGTGGCCGCCGTGGCGGTGCTCCTGTGTGGCTGCTGTCCCGGCGGCAATCTCTCCAATCTTATGTCCCTGCTGGTTGACGGCGACATGAACCTCAGGTAGGGGTATGTCTTTTCCACGGGCATCTGTCTCAGCCCAGCCACGCGTTTACAGCCGTAGGCCCCCGACGAAGGACAGAGGCAGTGGAGGGGTTGGAATCAGGCGTGGAGGAAAGAGGAGGAAAGAAGAAGATGAGGACGCCCGGGCTTTAGAAGTCAAGGCCAACTTACAGGTTGTGCTGCCGGAGGGGCGAGCTAGACGGCGAGGGGGCTACTCCAAGGCCGGCATTCCATGCGCAGCGCGGCCTTCAGATCCCTCGCCGTCCTCCCCGAGCGTCGGGCTGGTGGCGCAGGTCGTTGGCCAGTGGAAGACAAAGAGAAAGGGAAGTCTGAACTGGAACTCGCCGGCGACGTAAAAGTATCGGGTCTACTGGCCTGGCAGAGAAAGTAATCTCACATAGGGGACAGGATCGTTCAGTTCAACCAACATGTAGCGGTCAGCCGCTTCACCGTGGCTGACCTTGCAGGGTGGTTGCGAGGATGAACGCTCGTTGCCCTCAGAATCATCCAGGCTCAATAGACTTTATAAAGGCTAGGGTAACAGTACTGAGACAGGGTTCCCCCCACCCTTGGATTCATGTTTCCACTGGGCTTAGACGTGCTGCTCTCTTGGCGCTCCCCTCGGATAATGTCGGTTCTACCCAGACTTCAACCCCAGGAAGTCTCCCAATTTCCCCTCTACTCCACGTACAACGAAAAGGTTGGCTGGCTCTTTGACTCAAAGCCGGTTCTGATCTCTGCTCATTCCCTTTTCCGCAGCATCATCATGACCATCTCCTCCACGCTTCTGGCCCTGGTCTTGATGCCCCTGTGCCTGTGGGTCTACAGCTGGGCTTGGATCAACACCCCTATCGTGCAGTTACTACCGCTAGGGACTGTGACCCTGACTCTCTGCAGCACTCTCATCCCTATCGGGTTGGGCGTCTTCATTCGCTACAAATACAACCGGCTGGCTGACTATATTGTGAAGGTAAGGCTCTTCTTCCCTTGCCACACTAGCGTGGAGAGCCTTTGATCTCTGATCCACAGCAGAAATGTGAGGAAGTTGGGAGAAAGGGAAAGGAAGAAAAGGACGTGAAAGTAGTTGCCTGGATAAAATTAAAAAAAAAAAAAAAGTTTATGCTACAAAGTTAACTTCCACTTTTGGGATTCCTAGAACAATAACTTTAATTAAGACACAGCTTAATCAAAACCAGCATAAAAGAACTATCAGTGCTCATCTGGAGGAAACAGATCATAGCAGGGTGAGGAAGAGGACAGTGTAATCAAATGGCAACATATTTTCTACTAATTTTATATAATTAAAAATCAAACAGGTTAAATACTTTTAATAGAATTGGTGCAGTATTTTAGAAATGCATGACTATCTTTTCAAAAGTGGAACTCTAATTCTGAGAAACTCTATTGTAGGTTCCTTTAATGTTTTATTAAATTTTAAAAGTAAGTTGATAATAGGACAAAAAGTAATGGAAAAGTTACATTGTAGTAGTAGAACACAAAATATTGGCTTTAAAGCATAAAATAAAAGTTGGGTCCTGGATAAATAATGGAGGCTATATTACTCTTACTAAATGTGTTTCTTTTTTCTTCCCCATTGCAATATTTTATATGGTCTCTAAAGTTAGTGAAAAGATGAGGGAGTTCTATAATTTATGCAATATTTCCAAAATTTCCCCTGTGGTTTTGATTTTTTTTTTTTAAATGAATGCTTTCTGGAGCAGTAAAGATTTTCTAGTAGTTCACTGGAGAATTTTCTTTAAAAATTCAAGAAGAGCAGTGAAAAAGAATAAGCCATGACAGGATACTGACTTCAGGTAATTAGTCAAATAAAATACATAATTATTCCTGCAAAATGCATGAATTCCTTTAGACAAATGAAGAGAAAAAGAGCCACCCTAATGTTTCAATTACATAGATTTAAGAAGACACACTCTTCTGTTTTACTTATATTATCTTCTAAAGTAATCTGATTATATAGAGGAGTCAGCTTTTATTACTATGAAAAGTAGAGTTGTTTTCTGTACATATATCCAGCCTTGATTAAAAGAAATCCTGCTCCATAATAAACATGTGTATGTGAATGTAAAAATATATATGTACATGTAAATACACATATATTTATCCATGTTATATTCAATATCATACTCTTGAGTTGCATTAATAACTTGTTAATCATTAAGCTAATGCTATTAACATGATGACATTTACTATAAAACCTTAGGAAGTCTAAGAGAAAGTCAATCATATGACCTATTTACACACCAAAAACAGAAAAGATGTATTCAATGGACAGATCAATAAGATTAGCTACCTTTGAATTTAAAGTTAACGTAGCCCTATTCTTTAATTAGAACACGGTTAAGAAACAGCTTCTCAATGCTTTCAGTGTGACATACTTTAAAACAGTAAGTTTTACATGTAATAGCTTGGTTTCTGCCAATTGTACATCTGTAGTATCTGTACCTTATATAGTAAGTATTGCAGCATCCTCTAGGGTAGAATTTGTGACCAGCTCAGATAAATTTTAAATATTTTAAGAGTGTAAAGTTATGCCAGTCTCACAGATTGCAAAAGGGATATCTCCTCTATCCAGGGAACCAGAAGCAACATTAAAGCTGTTCTCTCTGGATCAGTTTCCTTTCCCTGCCCACTCCTCATTCAAATAAATTTTTTTTAAAAGTTAACTACCAATATGAAGGAGTACTAGGGGAAGAATTTTTAGGTGTCTGCCTTACTATTCATACAGCCTGTTTTATTTGAATGAATGAAATATACTAGTCAGAACATCAAGACAACATGTTTTATACAGAAGACAGTTGTACTGTATCTAAAATTCATCTATTATAATAATCCCAAAGCATCATAAAAGACTCACAGACAGGAGGTTTCTCATGAACAAATGAAAAAAATGTTGCCAAATTGCAAAGAATTCTTCACATCTTTATATTTTTTTTCTCTTATATAATCTAAGAGTAGGTGATTGCTTCAATATTGCAAGCAATCCTTTGCAATATATTTTGAGGGTTAAAAACATCACACACTGAGCTTCAGACAATTAAGTTTCACAAATTTTAACTCCTGCAAAATGAGAACTAATTTTTTATGGAAAACACGGGGTTCTGTTCAGGGAAAGTCAATATGTACTTGTCTGCTCTAATGGTCGACCATACCTGGGGTATGGGCTCAGTTCTCACTGCCCTGTTTTTAAGAGGCACATTCACAAATGAAACACATGCTCGGAACAGTCAGGACACCAAAACAAAGTTAGGTGATGGAGGCTTTAAGTCTGTGCATGACCTGCCTGGAGAAGAGTAGCCTTCACCTGATAACCGGTGTCTAAGCTTTTGAAGAGCTTTTTCAGAAAAGGTGTTTTTTTTTTTTTTTTGAGATGGAGTCTCACTGTGTCACCCAGGCTGTAGTGCAGTGGCACGATCTTGGCTCACTGCAACCTCCACCTCCCAGGTTCTAGCAATTCTCTGCCTCAGCCTCCCGAGTAGCTGGGATTATTGGTGCTCACCACCATGCCCGGCTAATTTTTGTATTTTTAGTAGAGACGGGATTTCACCATCTTGGCCAGACTGGTCTTGAACTCCTAACCTCGTGAACTTCCCTCCTCAGCCTCCCAAAGTGCTGGGATTACAGGCATGAGCCACTGTCACTGTGCTGTTTTTTTTGTTTGTTTGGTTGGTTTTTTTTTTGAAGAGCTGGTCTTCATTGCTCCTAACAGCCTATATCCAAGTCAATGGCTAGAGGTTATAGAAGGCAAATTGTCCCTCAACATAAGGACAGGCCTCCAAATAATCAGAGGTGTCCAACATGGCTCTGGATGCTTCCTGAAGAGGTGGCCTGCACATCTTCAGAAATATTCTGTCAAAGGTCTGCACTTTGTGTTGGAGATCATACTAGATGGTTGTTTTCTTCCATGAGCTTAGGATTCTCTCACCTGAATTCCTCTTCAACCATCTCATTGTAATTTTCTATTACTAGGTTTCCCTGTGGTCTCTGCTGGTGACTCTGGTGGTCCTTTTCATAATGACCGGCACTATGTTAGGACCTGAACTGCTGGCAAGTATCCCTGCTGCTGTTTATGTGGTAGCAATTTTTATGCCTTTGGCAGGCTATGCCTCAGGCTATGGCTTAGCTACTCTCTTCCACCTTCCACCCAATTGCAAGCGGACTGTATGTCTGGAAACAGGAAGTCAGAATGTGCAGCTCTGTACAGCTATTCTAAAACTGGCCTTTCCACCGCAATTCATAGGAAGCATGTATATGTTTCCCTTGCTCTATGCCCTTTTCCAGTCAGCAGAAGCAGGGATTTTTGTTTTAATCTATAAAATGTATGGAAGTGAAACACTGCACAAGCGAGATCCTCTAGATGAAGATGAAGATACAGATATTTCTTATAAAAAACTAAAAGAAGAGGAAATGGCAGACACTTCCTATGGCACAGTGAAAGCAGATAATGTAATAATGATGGAAACGGCTCAGACTTCTCTCTAAATGTGGAGACACACAGGAGCTTCTATCTTGCTAAAATATTGCTTCATATTTATGGCCTGTGGTAGTGCACCTGGTTCACATAAAGGATAACTGGTTCACATTATCATACATGTAACAATTCTTATATTTTCATTTTAAGGTTCGTTTGTGTATTAACCAAGCATTGTCACAAATTACAAATCAATGCTGTAATATAATTTGCACCTGGGATGGCTAACGTGCAGCCTGAACTAGTTAAATGTGCTTTTTAGTTTTTTCTATCACCAATCTCTATGATGTTGCAAATACAGAAACTATTAGAAAACAGGGTCTTGGAAATGTAGAATTTTGCGCACTGTCTTACAAGTAAAATCAAGCTATCTTTGTAAAGCATAATTGAGTTTAATGTAATTGTTGTAAAAACAAAAATGTGTGCTTTCTCTACTTAAAATTCCTGACAACGTTGAACTTTGACCTGTATTCAGAAAAAATTCTAAAACAGGTCACTTAAATAAGGAAATACAGTATTTGTCAAACCAGTATCAGAGAAAAGTTACATTAATGTATTTAATTACTTGATCTGATATCTACTTATTAGTGATAAATAATCAACATGTTTTTAGTGGACAAGCCTTTTTTTTTTTTGGATTGGTCTTCTGCATGTATGTAAACACAAATCAATTTATGTTTTGGAGGAATGATTTGGTTGGGAAATTTTCCAGAACCTCTCTGGAGCAAAGCAAAAACGGTACCTCCTGGCAACCACTGGGGCTAGGGGAAGGGACGCGCTCCAGGAGAGAAAACAGCCTAGATGAAGATGCCGGGGTGGTTCTCCGTGCAATCGCCGAGGGGGCTCAGTGGGTAGCCTCTCAGAGCAGCTCTGAGATAAACTGTCATCCGCGTTAATAATGGGTGACAGACCCAGAACAGTTCCCAAACCTTGGCACTTTCGCTCACTAGCCAGAGACACCCGGCCTGGCCTCTGCTTCCCGGGGCGCGGGCACCTGTAACAATCAGGGCACCGGGAGTAGCCAGCTCAGCTGAAGCCCGTGATGAGTTTCTCTCGTTGAAAACCTCCTCACCTCGGGAGCCTTGGTTCCCTTACAAATCAGCCCTTTCATCGCAAAGAAACCCCTCTTTCCAGATCATCTAAGGGTCACTGTGCCAACATCCGGGTGTGGAGAGAGAGATTCCATAGGGAGAAGGACAGAGAGGGGGCCCCCTGGGCGGGGACTCGGGGACACGAGCCGGTGGCTGGAAGGGCGCGGAGGGCGGTGCAGCGCACGAGTCCAGCAGAAGGCCGTCCCCGCCTCCGCCCGGCCGCGGGAGCGAGTCGCCTATTTAGCGTGCGGCCGCGGGTGGGAACGGTGCGCCCATGGCGGCCCTGGGGGACGAGGTGCTGGATGGTTACGTGTTCCCAGCGTGTGCCCCCTGCTCGTACCCGTACCCCAACCCGGCGGCCACCAAGGGCAGGGGCGCGGCGGGCGGCAGCTGGCAGCACCGCGGCGGGGGCTGCCTTCCCGCCTCCTCGTCCTCCTCCCCCTTCTCGGCGGGTGCGGCCTCGTCGCCCTTCCCGGGCTGCAGGCAGCTGACGGCCGCCGAGTACTTCGACAGCTACCAGCGGGCGCAGCTCATGGCCCTCCTGGCGCAGGTGGGGCCTGGCCTCGGGCTGCGCGCCCGCGCCCGCAGGCTCGGCAGCTGCGACGTGGCGGTGCAGGTGAGCCCGCGCGTGGACGCCGCGGTGCAGTGCTCGCTGGGGAGGCGCACGCTGCAGCGCCGGGCCCGAGACCCCCAGTCCCCGGCCGGCTCCGGCGCCGGGGGAACAACTGGCGGGGGCTCTCCCTCCCAGCCGCCGGCCCGCCGGGGCCCGGAGCAGGGCAGCCCCCTGAGCTGCGCCCAGCGGCCCGTGCGCTTTCCGCGCACCGTCGCCGTGTACTCGCCCGTGGCCTCGCGTCGCGTCACCGCCTTCCTGAGGGGGCCGGGGCCCAGGGCCGCGGCGTGGGAGCAGAGGTCGGGGGCGTCGGACGGAGAGCAGGGGTCGCCGCCCGTGCGACTTAGAGGCCCAGAGGAGGGAGAGGGTTCGGCGAGCAAGGTGCCCCGACGGCCACAGTCCGAGGACGACAAGGACGACGGCGAGGCCCAGGCCGCGGTCGGGGCGAGCTGGGAGCTGCCGGCCAATGGGCCCGGGCTGCCGCCGCGGGAGTCCCAGGAGGACGAGGCGGCTCGGCGGTCGGTTCTAAGGAGCCCGGGGCCGTCTCCGCCGGCGGGGAGAGCCCGAGACGGCGGCGACTGGCGGGAGGCGGCCGCCGCCGGAGAGAGGCAGTCGCCACGGAGCCCGGAGCCCTGCAAGGAGCGGCTGCGCTTCCAGGTAAGGCGTGGGGCGGCCAGGGGATCCCGGGGATGCAGGTGTCTAACTGTGGCCGGGCCCTGTGAGTGCGGAGGTGCGGCACTTCCCTAAGCGTAGGCTACTTCTGTGTTTCCGAAACAGCTAGTGACTGCGGCAGGTGTCTTCCTTCCCGAAAGCAGTCTCATGGAGGTGGCCTGACTCACACTCAGCGGCTGCTCCACAGGCTGGCCAAGGCGACGCCCTTGGGACTTTCTTATAACCCACATGTTTGCGCTGTAAAGCTGGGGCAGTGGGCGCGCAGGCCAGTCCTGACCGAGCGGTTGGATGATCTATGAGTGGCCACAGCTGAGCTTCCGAAGGAGCGTAGATTCCCACGGACCCCTCTCTTACATATTTCCCCACTACTTGTGACAAAAACCCCTTCGACTGTTGGGATCCTGGTCTGCTCTTCTGACTTCTCCTTTACAAGCTTCCAAGCTACTTGAAAGCTGGAGCTGCTAAAATGCCTCCTCTTAGGAATTTGCTTTTAAAAAGCATCCCCCACTCAGAAACACAATACTGCGAAAGCATTTGAGGTGCTGGTGTTGCTGCCCGAGAGAAGCAGTCTGAACCTTTAAAGGATTGGGGCACGCAGAGCGCACTTGTGACCCAGCAGAAGAGGAAAGGCACAAGGGGTGGTAGGAAGTCCGAGGGAGTCCGCCGAAGTCTCTTCCACAGCCTTCACAGGCTGGTATTCCTTTTGAGGGGCGGGGCTGGTGGCGGTAGGCTGTGCGAGGACTGAATCCAGAGGCCAGGGCTTTCCAGCGTGGCCATGCACGAGCTGTGTGTGATCTTAGGCCAGCCATAACGTTTCTGGATTTAACGCAGTTTCACAGGTGAGCAGACTGAATGAAGTGCTCCCCAGAGTTCCTTCCAAATCGAAAAGCCTAACTCTTAAAACCACGTGTAGAACTGGCTACTCACTGGGAGGGAAGCAGGGAAGTTTAGGTAACACGACTTTTGTCCATATGGAGTATGAATTATGACTTGAGTATAACTTAGGTTCCTGACACTACTATTTGGGAATTAACTAGCAGCATAGAGAACGTGATCTTGGGTGGACCCTTAAAGTTCCTTAGATGAGGAATCAATTTTTCTTTAGCTTAATACCTTTCTTGTGTGCATAATCTAAGATCAGGCTTTATCTTAGAGAAAAGGCCTCCCTAAAGAATCCCAAACTTCAGAGAACTGCTTAACTATTATGTCCATACTTAATCATTTATCAGCCAGCTGTATGAACTGAGTTAATCTGGTATAAACTTTAAAGCCCATGCTTGCTTAATTGCTTGACTAGGCTATTAGCTCACTTAATTACTGTACTGAAGAGGCATACCCAAACCTGACCCTGATTTTTCATGATCTGGAGTGAAGTTGCCAATTTCAAATATCAGGTAGATCATTCCTAACTTCTGAAATAAAGGATAATTCAGGTGTTATGGTTAAACTGACATACCCTGTTGTTCAGTTCTTAGAGCAGAAATATGGCTATTACCACTGCAAGGACTGCAACATCCGATGGGAGAGTGCTTATGTGTGGTGTGTACAGGGAACTAACAAGGTAGGAAATACCAGGTAACTGGCATCTTCTTGCTAAAAGTGTCAAGGGGGTTTTGCTTTAAGTTTATTCTCTTTCTTATCACAGGTTTACTTCAAACAGTTTTGCAGAACTTGTCAGAAGTCTTATAACCCTTACCGAGTGGAGGATATCGCCTGTAAAGTAAATCGAACATTTTGCAATTTTGTCTGACCTGGGCAGTCGTAAATGGTTTTTAGTATAGTTTCTTGAGTATGCTGCCAAAAAGGAGGCCAGGTCCCCAGACCTTTAGGTTCCAACTGGCTTTTGTTAGGAGTGGTTGAAACAATACTCCATTGGGAAATGGGGCCTTCGTGTTAGGTTCTTTCTGCCCTTGCAAAATGCTCTGGTTAACCTCTTTTAAAACTGTTACCTCACTTGTGAAGTGTAAGAATACTTGCCTTACTTGCTAATCTATGAGAAAATCAACAAAAACATTAACATAAGGTAGTCACAGTTGACTGTTTTATCCAAATGCTTACAAAGCACAATCTCAAAGTAATTTAAGCACAGGGGTTTAGTTTGTCTTGCCTGAAAGCTCACAGAAGGACAGTTTAAGACAAAAATAAATTGTCTAGCTTTATGGGAAGTTGACTATAATGGTAAGCAAGAAATAACTTAGCATTGCTAAGCACTTGATTGCTCACTATTAACTGTGCTGAGGGGCTTAGCTAATCCTTGAGAGGAAAGAAGTGACTGAATTCACCTGTTACCACACAGCTAATGGAGTCTGGATTGCCAGTTGAGACAGCCTAATCAATGCACTTGACCCAAGTTGGATATTTAGAAGCATTAACACCCTGGGGTAGTGGAGAGAAACTATGTACTTAGAATCACTTAAATCAGGGCTGGGCATGTTTCTAAAGGAGGATGCCTTAACTACTCTGCTCTTGGCTTTCATTGTCAAATTAATTCCTGACTTGTTTGTTCTCTACCCTTCCTCTTAAAAAGTTGTTGCAAAACGAACTTCACAATTCAGAATTGGATCTGATGCAATATAGCAACAGTACAGCATGGTTAAACACTCACTATTCCTAACCCTGTCATTGCTAGGTAGGTGGGGATGTAGAGGGAAAACAAGATTACTACAGGTCCTTGCTTAGAGTGCATTCAGTAAGTACTTGAATGGATTGGAAAAATTATGTTGAAATCCTAGGAAATCACTAAAGGTTTATCTTCTGTACACACTTCTCTTTTTTTCTCCCCGCAGAGTTGTAAACAAACTAAATGTTCCTGCCCAGTAAAACTTCGCCACGTGGATCCTAAACGGCCCCACCGCCAAGATTTGTGCGGGAGATGCAAAGGGAAACGCCTGTCCTGTGACAGCACTTTCAGCTTCAAATACATCATTTAAGTGAAAGTGTTGCTGTGATGATGGAGCAAGTGAGCTTTTCTGTGCCTCTTCTCTCCCTTCTCAAAATGCTTCGTGAAAGGCAGTGTATTCTGAAAAAGCCTTCCAATAAAGGTATTTGCAACACAATTTATACACTGCATAAAATCTGTCTTTGAAAATAAAGTTTCCAGAGCGGTTGTCTTGTGCTAACAGGCTGGGCCTGTCACTTCACCTTTATGAACGCTTGTTGATGGCAAGGAGTGGGCCAGGCTCTGAGTTAGGCTGCAACCACTTGGAAAACAATTTAGGGGGGCTCTTAGACAAGGTCTACTTTTTGGGCAGGTCTGGAGGGCTGAAGCTGAGAAGCAAGTTGTTAACTGAATAAAAAGCCACCTAGCTGTAATGTTAAGCATTCTTTTGGGAGAGGTGGAGGCAGAGCCATTTCTTGGTTGTACAAGACCATTGGAGGTAACCTAGAGTGGGAGATGCTGCGTGGCAGTGATGGGGTAGGTAAGGGCTTCGGTGTCTGGGTAACTTTAGGAGGTAAGCTACTAGGTGGAGGGAGGCTGGGAAAACTAACCTGACTCACTAGTCAGTTTCACAAATGGCAAAGCGAGGCTTGGGGAGGCTGTGGGCATCTGGCTGCTTTAACACACTGAATAACCATCAAACAGACCTTGTGTTTCTTCAAGGCTTTTTTTTTTTTCTTAAGCCTTGTAAATGTACTTAAAGATGTCAAGTTAGAGGCGTAGGCCTTAGCCTTTGTCTTCACTGACTTCCTGGTAGTCGGGATGCCAGACTCTTTCTACCTGCATCTAGTAGATTCTCATGACAGGCCCCACTGCCAGAACAAACGCTCCTAGTTGAGGATGGCACTGAGTTTAGGGCCTCAAGTGGCATTTATTTAAAGTTTAATTACAGAAACCGTGTAATTGAAACCAGGTGCTAATTATGCCTCCAGTTCTCTAACATCCCAGTTCAGTGAACTCCCTTACTACACCAGGAAGGCCATAACACTAAGTTCTAACATCTTGGACACTTGGGAATAGTGAAAGGGGTTAAAAGGGCCCAAAGTGGGTTGGAGGTCTCCATGGAATCTGTATCTTAAGGGTAAAGGCCCACCTGTATCGATATGGAGATGGTGCATGTAAAATGCAGATTGCACCTGTCCTATCAAAGCACTGTCAGGTGACATTTAACAGGCACCCCAGTTGTTGCTAATGGAATTGAAGCGTGAGAACCTATGCTCGGTAGAGATGTGGCATCTCATGGAGCTTCCAGTAGAGTGGGCAGATGGCCACTAGTTTTTACATAAATGTAAAACTGAGGTTCTGACTTGTGATACGATATGCTTAAGTGCCTCTCCAATAAGGGACCTGACTTAAGTCAGCAACTCCCTGCCTGAAAGAATGACACCTCAGCTGAGTTCCAATTCAAATGAGTAGAATAAGGCAAAAATGGGGAGGAGAAATTTTCCAGATTAGGCCAACCTGTGCAAAATCACTGTGGTAGAAAACCGGGAGGAGGCCACAGTGGGAGAATGCTCTGGAGGACATGCCAGGTGAATCTAGCAGTGCCAGACTAGAGGGATGTTTTAGGCCTTTGTCAGGAGGATGGTCTCCACCGGAGTACAGGGGCTACTCACAGACATTATCAGGGCACACCACAGCCTCAAGCTACCGGGCTCAAGCGATCCTCCTGTCTCAGCCTCTCAAGTGGCTGGGACTATAGGCACTTCACCAGGACGCACTAAAAAGTTTTAAAGGTATGATGGGGATAGTGGGGCATGGTGACAGATTCACTTTAAAAAAAAGCTTTTGGCTGTACAGTGGATACCTGTAGATAAGGAGACTTGCAGGGACCAGATGAAGTGGTGGCAGGGCTAAAGAGAAATGACAAGAACTGGTACGGGAAAAGGTGATGTGTTATTTTAATAGTTCTAACACGTTCCTGTTGATTTGGTTGGGGGTAGGTACAGGTGTAGGAAACTTATTTGTACTGTTGCCTACAAGTAATACATGTGCTAAATAGCATTTCCTCAATGAATGAATGAATTACACTAATGGACCTGCATTGAATCCTAAGACAGAAATTTTCACTGGCTTTTAAAATGGTTACATTGTTCTTTAATACTGCTTGCCATTAATTTTCCTAACACAGCAGCTAACCCTATTTTTTAGTTGAGGAAAGTGAGGGTCAGACTGTTTTCCTTAGGGTGGGTGAGCAAGCAGATATTGAAGGTGGCACAAAAACATGCCATTCAGATTACGGTGATTACATTCGAACAATGAAAAGGCAGTGCCAAACTCTTTGTGCCTACAATCCAAGACTTGTAAGATGTGAATACATTTTAAGACAGGTTGAGAGAGGCTAGAAGGAAATACTCCAAGAGGTCTCTGGGTATCAAGAGAAGTAACTGCAGTTTTCTTTGTATTTCCTACATATTCCAAAGGAACCATGGATTACTTTGAAAAATTACAGGGAAAATGCTATAAAACACAAGTATATGGACTTTATAATGTCTTTCTCCTTTCGTTTAGGTTACACTAGTGTTTTATGTGAGCCGTCTTCACTCATAGGCCTGGATGAGTCTTTTCCAAGAAAGCGTGTCATGATTTCCTAAATTTAAGGTAGGTTATGTGTTTTAACACACTCTCTAAATTTTACATCACTAAAAATAGAAAGCACATTCAAAAATACATAAGAAATCCTGTGGTTTTGTTTTAGAAGCAGCATCAAGAAACTGGCAGATTGCTGCTTTTGCTGTTGTCTTACAAGCATACTATCTAAAAATGATAAATGTAGTGGGCAAAAGAAAAAGGTATGTAGCAAAAACTGGGCTCCAAATGGAACTAAATCAGGTAATAAATGCTAACTTGGGATTCAGAGGATGAGGAGCAGAGAAGTGTAGACTGGAGGAAAATGCTATTGAGAAGGCCATCCTAATGAACTTGTTTGCATCTTGCTTGCTGCAGGTACATTCATTTTTATTATATTATTAATAGACTTAGTTACATATAAACACAAAAAACAAGTATCAACTGTTTGAAAGGTTTGGTTGGGTAGTCAGCTAATTTTTTTTTTTTAAGGCAATTCAAGAAGAAGGTAACATCTGAAAGGGTTCTAAATGATGCACACTAGAGTCATTCATTCTTAGTTAAAATACAACGCAAACCAACAGCTACAATGCTTTTTATTTTTAACAGAAAGGATGTAAGGAGGGTGAGAAAAATAGGGGATAGGAAGGTAGGGTGTAAAGTGTGATGTATCTCTGGACCCCATCCCTCTCTGCCTGCCCCACACCCAAAAGTTTTAAATAATTTAAAGGACACCATTTACAGTACCAGAATACCATCAAAATAATTGTCTTTATCAGGGTCAAAAAATACAGTGATTATGAATGAGCAGTGACTGGTTATGGAATTTTACTGGAAACGTAACTGTGGTCAGCAGTCCAATGCTGTGCACAGTGCCTTCAATCAATGCACTTCAGCATACGTAATTACATTTCTGGCAGGGTCCACACCCCCAAGAAAAGGTAAAGCTAAGCATTTCATCTCTACATTCTAAACTCTGGAATCACAGAGCCCAGTTTAAAAGAAAAGTCACAGTGGATAAGAGATGTATATAAAAAATACAAGGTGTTTCTTTCAATCAGGAGTTGTGGGACTACATTTTTTTTTCCTTTTCTTACAAAATGCTATTTAAAAAAGGATAGAGACTCCAGTTCATGTTATACTACAGACTTAGACAGTGAATAAGTATATTGCATGTTTTGGTAGTCAGTCTTCAGGCTTCCTTTCATTTCCCCTAGCCCCAAGTTTCTTTAGGGTAAAACATATGAGTCCTGAATAAACATATAAAAATGCATTTGCAGCTCTTTTCTTGAATTCCACAGACTTCAAAGCCTGCAAGTCATAAATTCCATCATCAATGACCACATTTTTTTCTTTAGCTTTGTACACCTATTCTTGTATAATAACAGTGCATGGCACAAATGTACAAGAAAATACTGGTTTTAGTCTATGCAGTTTCTATATGGAGCAAAATAAGTTAACTTTTCTAATGAGAATAGCTGACGGGCAGCATACATCTTTATTTTACATTTTAAAGTCTCTGCAGGCATCTACTTTGGTTAGTTATCAACAATTGTAACATAAGCACTGATCAGAGAACTGAGCAGCATTCCAATAACGTTAACAGATATATTATTTCTTTTTGAAATACTGGGAAAGCCCAGTTTTAAAATATTATTAAAATGTTCTAACATTTACATACTATGAAGAGTTAGATCTAATAAAATAACATTTCTTCAAAAATAATCTTGCAGTGCTCTTTTAGGCATGCTCCGAGACATCACCAAACATCCATACCTTGAAAATATGACTATCACATATCCACACATCCCAACTCACACACACATAATTCCTTATACAGACCAAAAAACAAACCCAAACCCTTATCCCACATATCGAAAAATCAATGGTTTTTGCAAATGAGTCTTTATGTGTATAGCTGACTGCATGTTCATGTGGATGATGAAGCATCAACTATAGATTAGGTTTACCACTGCTAGAAATCCAAGCAGCTTTGCAGGTCTTCAGCTAAAATGAAACAGCCTTGATTTCAGCCTCATTTCACCTGCTTTCAGATGGTTCAGTATTGGAGGCCATTATTGCAAACATTCTTGAAATTCTTTTCTTTGCCCAGAAAGTAATGTATTTGTAGGCATCACTTTTAGCCCTTTTCTTTTCACGTAGGTTAAGTAATTAAAAAATTCCTTCTTCATACAGTTATTGTGAGAGATATTGGCAGCTGTTAAAATACCAGATTTTTTTTCTTTCAGATCTCCGTTTTTGATACAGTTTGACATTAGTTACACTAAAAAGTAGATGCTGCCAAAAAGTTATCAGTGAATGCAAGGGTCCATAAAAGGTGCTTGGTTAATACTCTTCATCATCTTCAGTTTAGTTTCTTTACTAAAGGCCTGAAGTGTCTCAGAATCCAGTGCTCACCATATTTCCCATAGGTTTGGCCTGTGCTAGAAGCTGGTATGATTGCACCATGCGTAGAGACTCTCTTATTTCCAGATTAAGTTCCATCAGTTTGTAGTTGGCTTCTGACATGTCCAGGTTAGAGCCTATAACTGCAAAGCTTCCTGTCTGGCCCAGCGTCTGATGATGGAAATATATATGTAACAGTGTCTGCACAGGGTCATCTTCACGACTTCCGAAGATATCACTGGGCCAGAGAGATCTGAAAATACACAATACTTTTTCAGTTCTGAGACTTAGGCAATTATTAAGATTAGCTCGGTTTAAGTTAAATACCTATAAAAACATTTTCCTGTCAATAACAGATAATCTGTTTTAATATTTGAGCAAATATTACTCAAAGTACCACCTGAAAGTGAAAAGAAATCTAAAATTGGTATCATTTCAGTGGCAACTGTTAAAAATACTCATGTTTTCCTTTTACAAAGACATGATATGGAAACAGCAAACTGAAAATGAAAACCTAGTATTACTTAACTTCCAGTCTAATTTAAAAGCATCACCTTTAAATCCCGTCACATTTTACCTGAAAGCTTTGACTTGTGCTACAGCTGATATAAATTCCTTATTTTTCAAAGTTTCAATTAAAGAATGAATGGCAGTTTCTATAGTAGTTTGTGCAGCTTTGGAAATGTCAATGTCTTCGTTTTCTGAAGCAGACTCAGCTTCTTTGAGGATGCTTTCCAATTGGGCAAGTTCCTCTGACATGTTGATGACCTAAAACAAATACATCTTTGAGGATCTATTTTATGTTTATGTTTGGTAACAAAAACATTTAGTTGGCTACAAGGATATACCTGATGGTAGCCGCACTCTCTTTTATTTTAAAGATTATTTTAAAATGTTTACCTTGGAAGAAAGGGCAATTATTATTTCAAGTTCTCCATTCTGTAGGAGCAAATATATTCCACCAAGTAGTAGTCTTGAAATGTTCTTGATAAAGCGGTAAGTTGTAATAAATAAATGTCTATATTGGTTTTAATATTACTACATTTTGGATAGTAAAAATACATTTACTGTTACGGGGGAGCATAAAGACGATTTGACAGTAAAGTCTTTAGATTTTAAAATACTATTTACCCAGGGCATTTTTATATAAATACACATATATATTTCTTTTTACAGATTTAATGACCTTAAGAAATTAAATCATTTCCCCAGTGATAGTTTTATTACCAGCAGATAACAAGGCGGGGAAACAGACTAAAGTCAGCATCTTCGAGGATATGTATTGATTTTCAACATTCGAAGTATTTTTTAACAGGTTTATTCTGTGTGCATTAATAGAACTATATGGGCCAGGCACGGTGGCTCATGCCTGAAATCACAGCATTTTGGGAGGCCAACAGAGTGGATCACCTAAGGTCAGGAGTTCGAGACCAGCCTGGCCAACATGGTGAAACCTGTCTCTACTAAAAATACAAAAAAATTAGCTGGGTGTGGTGGTGCATGCTGGTAGTCCCAGCTGCTTGGGAGGCTGAGGCAGAAGAATTGCTTGAACCTGGGAAGCAGTGAGTTGAGATTGTACCATTGTACTCCAGCCTGGGCGACAGAGGGAGACTCCATTTCAAAAAAGAGAACTATAGAAATAAAAAATGTTGGGGGGGGTTGATAATATAGTTTTATGTCTTTATTGAACTGATGTGCTTTATTTGACTATTTTTATTTTCTGAGACAGGGTCTGGCTATGTCACCTATGCAGGAGTGCACTGTTACAATCGCAGCTCACTGCAGCTTCTAATTCCTGGGCTCAAGTGATCTTCCCAGCTCAGCCTCCTGAGTCACTAGGACATAGGTATGTGCCACCATCCCCGCTTTTGCTTGACTTTTTATTACGGATGATCTGTTTCTGCTATGGAAACCTTTGGTTTTGAACCTTTTACAACTGCTGGATATATGCTGTCTTATTTACTCATAGGTCCTGACAGCACATCATTAAAAAACGAATTATTCCTTAACTGAAAAAAAAATCACTCTAAGTGACTTTTGACTTAAGCAATTCTAACAAGTAATATATGTATATTTTTAAAACTTTCTAGAATCGGTTACTGATGCCTAGTACAACTGAATATTTACCTCTGCTTCATTTTTTATTGTATTTACTTGGTTTATAAGTTTACAGTAGGCCTGAAACAGAAGCAGCAGTTGAAAATGCAATTTGTATAATCTTCGGCAGAGCTCCAATTCCTAGAAATAAATAACATTACATTAAATTTAGGTGTTATGTTCTAGACAGCATATTTCCAATGAAAATTTATAGTTAATGTTAAAATTGTCTTGTCGTTTATTTTTCTGCAGTAAGCAAGTTAATATGGTGTGAAGCTGATGAAAGGCAGGTGAAATATGCTTAAAAGACTAAGATTAAAATAATAACAAAGATCACTGCTAGTTACATAATTCAGTTTTAGTGTTAAGCACATTTTTACATTCTACAAATAGACTGTTACAGCAGGCAATTAATAGGATACTTTTAAAAGGATCAATTAGAACTTAAAATTTTAAATTCATAATTAAAATAATCTACAAATGCATAGACTTGTGCCCTCATTGAGATGAGCTCTCACTGCATTTATCAACAAGTGCATGATAATGCAGGGTGAAACTGGATAACCTCTTACCTAAAAAGTAAGAAAAGCTTGTCTTTAAAGTGAGGTCATTTTTCTAAAGAAAACCACTTGGTAATCTCATTGAAATGAAACTGTGAACTTAACATGCGTGATGTGTGAGCCAAGTACGGTGGTCCATACTTGTAATCCTAGCACTTTGGGGCAGATCACTTGAGCTCAGGAGTTCGAAACCAGCCTGACCAACGTGGTGAAACCCCATCTCTACTAAAAATACAAAAAAATTAGGCAGGCATGGTGGTGGGCACCTATAATCCCAACTACTTGGGAGGCTGAGACAGGAGAATCGCTTGAACTCAGGAGGCAGAGGTTCCAGGGAGCTGAGATCGTGCCTCTGCACTCCAGCCTGAGCCACAGAGGGAAAACTCCATCTCAAAAAAAAAAAAAAAAAAAAAAAAAAAAAACATATGCACTTTGATTTTTAAAATTAAGAAATTTAAAAGGAGCTATGTTAGTTACAGATGTAAGAAAAAAGGTGACTGCTAATTTTATGTATTTTAACATCTCACTATTTTAATGGAACCAACATTTCATGGATTAGGGCTTTGCAAAACTGAAGCACATACTACTTGCAGTCCATGACAAAACATAGCTACATCACAAATGGACAAATGGCAGATGAAAACCAGTTTGTCTGGCAAGGGTGAGTAGTCTATAAATCAAGACAGGTCACTTACTGCTAGTATTTCCATTTGCTAAGCAAGAAGGTGATCAGGTCACAAAAAATACAAAGGAAGAAAAAGACCAAGAATTAGTGTAAGAAATCATTTTAACTAAGGTCACAGATGTTCCAGGCAAACTGAAGAACATATACCCCCAAAAAACTTTATGAAGTTATTTCCAGAATAAAAGCTTTTAGTCATTTACTGCAACAATTCAGGGTATTTTTAAACACTTTGCGAAAGAATAACTAAATTATATTTAGGCTATGACTTCTGTGTAAAAGCTACAATGACTAAAACTGTACTGTAGTGGTCTTGGGAAATGTGGCTATCCAGGTTAAAAAAAAAAACAAAACCCAACTGTAATAAAACTTCCATTTGTAAACTAGAAAACTTAAGATTAGAAAATAAGAAGTTAATTACCATTACAACTAAAAAGAATTGGCTTATAATCATACATAATAAATACTTACCCATCACCATCAAAAGATTAAGTGGCTCATTCCAGGCTTCCTATCCTATACTGTCTAATTAGGTCGTACTTTGCTATAATTGGTGCTGAACCACAGGGTGGAATATCAAAAGCACATATGAGTTCTAAACTGCATTCCAAATGTAGTTCAGTAAGTTTCAGAAACTTCACCTGACTAGGTTTGAATCAACATAATGTATGTAAAACACATAGTGAAAAATCTAATTTATGGACTATCTTAAAAACTAGATGAAAATATGTTGAGCAACTTGGATCTGGTCTCATTAAGAGGAGAATGACTCTTAATTAAAACAGCAATTGTTATGCTGTAAATGTACCTTCTAAAAGTCATTCTTAAGCCTGCTTTTGTAAATAGTTTTCTGTGAAGGACCGTTTGCATAACGTTTATTCCCATCAATTTAGAAGGGATTTGCTAAGTAAGCAAAGGTGAACTTTAGCTCCATGCTGCTTACCATAAATTACGTGGAGAGTCATCCAGTAAACATCGGTTGAGCACAATCCAAGGTCAAGCATATTACATATCTAAATTTCTGAGGGTTTAGTGCATACCGTTTATTTCAAATGAAAATTAACAATTTGAATTTTAAATACCTCTCCCACTTCTTTAGCATAAATCAAGTAGAACTGATTCTACAAGCATATATGCATACGCTCCACTTTGGGATATAATGGAGCATAAACTGCTGATAAAGTTTATGATCACAATAATAGGAAATAACACAAATGTAATGAATTCTATAGCTCTGAATTACCAGCAATTAATCTAAATATGCTAACAGTACTGTGTGTGTGTATGCACATTTTAAATTAAGTATATTAAAATTTGCACATTCTCTTTTCACCTAACAAATATCTGACTGCTTATCATGTAAAAGACTATACTGGTACATAAGGACAGATCAAGTTGCATAAAAAGGGTCTTCCACCCTCAAAAAAGGTGAATATGAAAGGTGAGCTGACATATAAATGCAAGTGTTTAAAAGTTCAATTTCCACTTAGTAGATAACCTTAAGCTATATTAACTGACTTGGTCTTGGAGATAGATAGATACCGTTTTATTCAAAGTACAGGGGATATTAAAAAATTACTTAATAGTAAGATTTTTTGATGAAGACATGCCGTTAAAACAGATGCAATTAAGCAATGGCAAAGACAGAATTAGAGCCAAAGGATCTTCTGGTCTAGGGTTAATTCCTTACCTTCATTTCTTTACACAGATGACTTCACAGTTTCTTTTTTACATTAGTGCAGGATGTGGAGTCAGCCTGCCTAGGTTTGAATCTTGGTTTCACTATTTGCTAATTTTAGATAAATTAGTTTCTCTGAGCCTCGGTTTCCTCATCTTCAAAACCGGGATAATTAGAGAACTACTTGACTGAGTTGTAAAGATAAAGATAACAATAGAGGCCAGCAAATAGTCAACACTTAATGCATGTATCATTTTTTCTCAACGTTGCAGTTTCTGCAAAGCTTCAACTTTTTATTCTAACAGTATAACCTTTACAGAGACTAGAAATCTCTAATAATGTAACCAAAGATAGAATAGAAAAGACTGGAATTCTGATGTCAAATGAAAAAATTTCAGTCGATGAATGTATTTTCCCGTATTAAGTTGCACTTCCATTAGAATAATTTGTAGGCCCTAACTTAGCCTCACTTAACCACAATGTATGTATTTACGTATGTGCACCTTTCTAAGAAAATATATTGCTGTTTTCATTGAGCCTTATATCAGAGAAAAGCGTAATTTATTCAATTCTAATTTTACCTTTGAAAAGGCTAGTATGGATGCATTATAGCATATTATTCTTAGGTTTGCTTTCTTGACCAATCTCTCTGGAATACTAACACTGGACAAATTTTCCTTTTCAAGAGGCAGATGCAACTAAAAGCCTACCTGGACTGTCCAGATATCCATCAAGCTTATCTACTGAATGTTATTAAGCTTCAGTCACAAGCTGGTTCATTTTTATTAAAGTGAATTTTTCATTACTAAACCAGTATTTCATTGAGCTTTTTACAAAGATTGTTCTTGATAACCAAAATGAAAAGTTTTACAAATATTCTTTGTTTCTAATCAAATAAGGACATTTGAACATATGCACTGTTTTACCTGATACAGAAATAAAGCAAAAACAAGAATAAGAAACTTACTTGTCCATCTGTGCTTATCCTATACATGTCTTCTTTGGCACCAAATGTCCTCTTACAATCATCTAGCCACTAAAAATAAGTAACAGTAACATTTAATATGCACAATGAAATGGGTAATATAACAGCCTGTCCATACACAACACCAAACTTAGTTAACCTGAAGTTCTAGGACTGGCTGTAGACCTAGACTTTTATCTCCATTCCAGTCAAATCAGTTACATGGAACTAACAAAAGCAGGGATAGCATCAATATAACAAGATGCACACACTTGTCACAGCTATACTAACAAAACCCAACGAGCAGTCTTCCATTCTAGGGACCTGTGATGTTCCATTTCAGTAAAGGATATTCTTCATTTTGCAGGTTTTATGAAAATCTTCACAACGTATGCCTGACCTTTGTGTAACGTAAGATGGGGAAATGAGAGATGTGCTCTGGTCAATTTAATAAAAGCAACTTAGAATTAAGCAGGTCTGTTTGCTTATGAGGAGTGTAATTCTCAGAAGACCAGTGTCAGTTTTCATTTGTGAACTGGCAATCAAGTTCCATTTTAAATCTTGTTTTTCTTTTTCTTTCTTTCTTTTTGGATAGTGATTAATGGCAAACATGTTATCTCCAAACAATACTGGATGTGGAAACCAAATGTGGTTTTTCCTTTTCTGGTGATATTCCTAATGTTGATGTAAAAGTACAGGCTGGGTGTGGGGGCTCCTGCCTATAATCCCAGAGCTTTGGGAGGCTGAGTGGGGAGGACTACTTGAGGGCAGGCGTTCAAGACCATCCTGGGCAACATAGGAAGACCCTGTCTCTAAAAAAATAAAATTTAAAAAAGAAATACTTCAAAAATAATTTAAAGTACATTTTCTTCAACAAAATATAAATAAAACAATAGTACTGTGGTGTAGTAGAAAAGAACGCTGGAGTCACAAAATTTCCAAGCTGAAGTAAACGCTAAGTGCCTTCAAGGTTAGCTCCTACCTTTAGACAGTTTGATAGTATCAGTTGTTTTGACTTCTTAGTTCTTTTTTATTATATTATTAAGCAGAATACAACTAACATATTTAAAAAATCATTTTGAGAAAAGCTACTAGCTGCATTAAGCAGTTACTCTGAAAATATTTTAGTATTCAACATTTAACATTCTCTACTGTAGCTTATGCTTTACACACAAAGAATTAAAAGTAGGCATTTCAGTTATTTCAAAAATGATCTCTTTGACCTTATTTTCCTTTTATTCCAGTCTCTTAGATTTCACTGGCCCTTAGGCTATTTGCTTGACAGCATCACTGAAGAAAAACATGTTAAGCTTTTCTGGTGTGATACAGCTGATGGCAGCCATTGTCAAAAGCTATCAGCAGATTTCTGTATATCAGCAAAATGCAGTTGACATTTACCATGGAATCTGTGCATTCATACAAAATGTTAGAATGTTTATATACTTAATTATCATCCCTTGTCCAGTTTGTCCAAGTATACTAATAATTTGAAAAGAATTTCAGTTGATTAATGGCTTATTTTTATACTGTGTACCTAGTGATACAGCCTTTTGGGGGCACTATGCAACGTAATTATTGATGATTTTTATTCTGTTAAAAGGTAAACCTCAACCATATAGTCCTATGGCTGTATACTGGCCTGAGGAATCCAGGTCCACACCTTTCCAGCCAGTGCATACAAGACACAGTAAGTAGCTTATACATAGCACACCATCCAGTTCACATCTAATCAGTCTTCCTGTCATGGCATTTTCTTTATTCAAAGTTCAAATGAAGGTTAAAATTTAACTGGTGAGGTTCTACTTCTTAGTGTGATGGAGTAGCCTGTATAAGACCAATCCTGCAAGGACAACTATGGAAGCTGAATCCTATCAGCCGAAGCTCAAAGAGTTGGAGAAAAGTACTGAAGTGAGCCCAACACTCATCCCAGTGCTTACTCTAGGTATATTCATATTTACGTTCTGTGCATAGAGGCTGAACAGAAAGCAGTGGCATAAACTTTATGCCCTACAGTTTCACTGGGCTGGGAAAATGGTTTTCAAAGATAGTGAGATATCGAGAGCCAATATCCTGGAGAAAAGAGAACTGCAGAGAAGTTACTCCAATCGTCTCCGTGCAGTTTCACCTTGGGACACTTGCTGTTCCTGTTTATTATGTGCAGGAGGAACGGCTAAGAAACCACAAAGCAGTCCCTGGGAGGCTGAGAAGGTCGGCAGAGACTGCTGGTCTCACAGTGCCGGAGAGAGAAAAACCATTCAATTCACTTGTGAGCCTTAGCAGTCTTGAAGAATAAAAAACAAAAATGTGTAACTCAAAAACCAATAGGAAAATTAAATAGAAGGGCAGATAGTAAATATTTTAGGCTTTGCAAACCCTATAGTCTTTGTTGTAACTATTTAACTTACAGTGCAAAAAATAGCCACAGACAATATGTAAATAAACCAGAGAGCTGTTTTCTACTGTCTAACTTTACTTACAAAAATAGGCAGTGGACCAGATATAACTTGATGGCTGTAGTTTGCTGACCTGTGTTTAAGAAGTTTATATGTACTATTGTTTGAATTTCCATATAAATTTTAGGATCAGCAAAGAGTCTGAGATTTTGAATGAGACTGCATTAAACCTACAAGATCAATTTAGGGGGAAAATGGCATCTCTACCATACTGAGTCTTCTAATTCATAAACATGGTAAATATTCCTCCATTTATTTAGGTGGTCTTTCATTTTTCTCAGTAATATATGCAGTTTTCTGTATAGAGGTGTAGCATATCTTTAGATAGATTTATTTATAGGTATTTGATATTTTCCTATTATAAATGGTATCTATTGCTTTAAAACCAACCAACCTAAAATTTAATGGCTTTAAATGACCAAAATGAATCTATATACTGGCTGGGAGTTTCTTCTGGCCTTGCCTCAGGTCACTCGTGAGTCTATAGTTATTTGATGGCTTCTAACTGGGAAAGTAGGAGGTTGAAGATCCAAACTGGCTTCACTCATATGTCTTGCACACTGGCTGTCAACTGGAATGCCTCTGTTCTCTCCTACATGGCCTCTCATCTACCAGTAGGCTAGAGGTCAAATAGTTTCCCAGAATTTATCCCAGTTTTACTCTGACCACTATGATGGCAAAAACAAAAACCACTTTAGGACTAGTCTTGGAAGTTACACAGCATTGCTTCTAAACTTGATTGGTTAGAGCAAATCCCAGATTTAAGAGATGGTGAAATGGACTCTGTCTCTTGATGGGAAGAATAGCAAAGTCACGTTGCAAAGGGGTGTGGCCACAGAGAAGCATAATTCATTGGGACCAGTATTGCAACAATCTACCTTTGCTTCTAGTAGACAATGATTTCTGAAGTCTTTTCCATGATGGAAAAGACTGATAACCTGGACTTATTAAAATTAAAAACTGTGTTCATCAAAAAATGCTACTAAGATAGCAAAAATGCTAGCCACGGAGAATTAATCTTTGCAATACATATATCCAAAAAAGGGCTTGCATTTAGAATAAAGAGCCCCTACAAATCAGTAAGAAAAACCCAATCCATTTACAAAAATGAGCAACATACTTGAAGCCACAATTCACAAAATATCTAAATGAGACCCATAAGAAAAGGTTCTCTAATGTTAGTCATCAGGGAAATGCAAAATAGTAAGTATCATGAAATACCACCCTACACTTCATTTTTCACAGGTCTATACATGTCATAGATATTTATTACTTATTAAAGACCCATCTCCTAGAAAAATAATTCCCCATTGTATGCAGTTTGTATGAAAGAGGTAGGCTACCTTTTGTTCTTTTGCTGCTCCCAATTGAAAACATACTGGATTTACTCTTAGGGAAGGAACAGAGCTACTCTGTTTTCAGTGCCACCTTTCTTCGGAGGTGCTATCTAATTTACTACATGTTTTTTTCTCCCGTCGGTTGCACATGTACATGTACACATCACGGGAAAAAGATCACAGCTTTGTCAGAGGTTCAGGATTTCCTAGACCACAATTCTCTAACACACTAAGAAATGTAGCTTTGATTTTCCCACTTGGAATGCTGGCAGCAGTGATATAGTCTCCACAGAGAAGAATTTTACAAAGCTATGGTTTTCCATTGCGCTGTTAGAGGGCTGACTTTTAAAAGCCAAAGGTAGGAATTTGCTGGACAGAGAGCTCAAAGAACCTGCTGCTGTCTGGAAAACCCTGAGGCAAGTGCTAAGAGGTCTTTTCTGTCTGGGCTATTCTGCTGCCAGGATTACCCTTCCAGTGTCAAGAGCAAACCACTTTTCGCACATGGTAAAAAAGAGACTGACCTGCTCAGCTGCTTCTCTTTTGGCATTGTATGTATCCAGGTGTTCTTGTAACTCCAAAACCCCAAACTTGAGTGTTTCCAGCAAACCACATGACATTAGCTGGCAAATCAGAAACATTGATCCAGGTTACCATTTCTGATCAAAATCACGAGACCCACAAAGTCATGAGACTTTTCAGTCACGGAATACCTGTTAGTTGGTTTTCGGACATTCTCTTACTCTACTGTGTCCCATACTGAGAGCTGACTTCTCACTGAAACAGAGTAGGAGTGCAGCGGGACTTGGGAAGTGTCAGGAAGGACCAAGTGTTTTCAAAGACTGGCTAAGACGAGAAATGTCATGCCAGACCAGTACATCAAAGGTTTCAACCCTGAAGCTTGTTAAACCTTAGTTCTTTAAATATCTTAATATATAATCTAGAAGTGTGCTTGGAAGTAAATCAGGAAATGACCACGGAGGCCTGTGTACTTCATGGGGGGAGGTTTAGCCATCTCCTACCCATTTTTATTTAAGAATAAAAAAATTACCCATCTTTACAGCATGGCTTTTTACCTCCATTTAGGACTCTGTGGAGGGTAAGGGCAGGAAGGGGTCAGAATCAGAAATAGTCACCAGTTGCTGCATCTAATATACTAGAATTATAGTTTGCCAAATATATTCATGTTGAAAATATGAACCTTCACACTATAAAGTTCAGAATTACTTAGAAAAAAAGACTTTTACTGAATGATGCCATTCAAATGTAGTCTTTATAATAAATCTGCATGTAAAAACTTACTGTTTCAGCATCCACAAAGACTGTTGGGCATTCTGAACACATCATCATCACGTCCAAGGAGCTTTTAAATTTGGTACCAATGCGTTGCAGACTCTCACCAAGAAAGCTGACTGTCTCATTAGTTATTTCTCCAAACTTTCTTTGTATTGTCTATGGGGAAAAGCAGAAGAAAGAGTTTAGTGTTTCATAAGAAGGCCTTTTTCACCTTTAAGTAAAGAAGCATAATAGGGTAGACTTTTATTTTAAAATTACAATGATACATAGAATTTTAACCATTGATCTGTAAATCCATATTTTAGGTATTTCCTTAAGAAACAATTTCTATAAAGAAAGGTTTACAAAATAGTATTGCTGAAAAAAATGAATGATATATGCCATTTATCTCCCTATTCTCAAGATTTTTTTCATCGGGGGCAGACAGATGGATGCATGCTATACCTCCTTAGCAATAAAAGTCCTCACCTGTCTGAGGAAGTTGGTCATCTAAAGTTATTATCCAAAAGAAACGTTCAGTTAATGTAGTTTACTCTACAGGCTGCCATCTGGCTTAACGTTAGGTAAAGTCATAGAAATGCATTAAGAGTAACATCTTCTCAGGGTCTAAGAATATTCATTTCCATGAAACGATCTGACACTGCCTGACTCATAGTAAGTCAACCAATTAGACTGTATTATCAGTAGTATAATTATTATATCAATGGTTAAAGTATACTTATATATGTGTTCACTGTTAGGTGGCATTATGATTGATTAAAATAAAAAATATGATCAACAGTTTCAGCCATCAAGAAACTTACAATATCACTGGAAAGAAAAGACTGAGTAGAAAACCAAGTAGTGATGCGATAAGTACAGAAAAAGCGCTCCTGTTAATGAACACTGAAGAACTTCCATGAGAGAGCTTCGGTGAGAAAATGTATTTAGCTGAGTCTTCCAAGATGGGCAAATTTGGGAGGAGAAAAGGGAGGAAAACTGCTTGATAGTTCAGAGGATAATGACTTAAATGGTGGCATTTTTCTGTGCCTTAATTTCCTTCTCCACTGAATGCTAAAAATATCTACATTCCATAGTGGTAGGGGTGTGAGAACACTTAGCATAAAGCCATTTAGCATAGTGCCTAGTATGTAGTGGGTACTCAATACATTTTAGCTTATATTGTTATCATTATTGTGGGGGAAGCAACTTTAACAGCTAAAAATTTTAAGGTCCTCACAGAGTCATAAAAGTGTCAATTACTTTAAGCCTTAATTATAAACTGATTTTTTATATATTGACTACAGAGCTTAGGCCTTTATTTCTTTGGTATCCTGATGGTGCCTAAGCGTACTACAGAAAACATATCAGATGTTGTTTTGAAGTTTTATTTTAATTGCCTTAGGGGAGAGATCTGTACGGGTCATTATGTAATGTACC